CTCTGTTTTGTCATTTGTGTTGTTCTTGTACAGCACTTTGGTACAGCTTTATGCATGTTGTAAAGTGCTATATAAATAAATTTGACATTGACATTATTTTAAATAATAACTGTAGTTGTTATCTAACTATGATTTTGAAGCCAAATCTTTGGTTTTTACTTTCAGGTGTACCGCTGGACGGGAGAAAATTCATACTTTGTGAAAGGCAATACAGATTCTCTGCAGATGGGAGGAGGAGGGTGCGTGCACCTGTCTGATGTTTGAGACGTTGCCAACAAATGAGAAGTGAGTTGTGAAACTGTTGAGAATTTGTCTCCGCAGAGGTCACCTGGGCCTTTGGCTGGACGCCGAGCTGTACCGAGGCACCACCACCAAATGCTCCACCTTCAACAACCAGCCTCTCTCCTCGCAGCAGGACTTCAGCATCCGCAGCCTGGAGGTGTGGACCTTCGAGTAGCCTCGTCCCCTAAACCCCCGGGTGTTTCGTCGTTCGTCACGTGGAGGCGAACGTGTAGCCGCCCACAAAGGACACTGTGAGACGGAGGCAGGCGTCGAAGCTGCATCAGTATTCTTCAGGTCTGCTGAGAGCTTTAACCGTGTCCATCACATCTCATCGGCTGCTTTCGAACACAGACTTCGGCTCCAGCTTCCTCACTACAAAGGCGAGACGACGGACGGCTGATATGTGTCAAACATCTGATGTTACTGTTTACCTTATTCCAGAAAGAGAAGTTTTGTTGTGTTAAAGAATAGGAAATGCTGTAAGTTTTTCTTTTTGCAGAAGTAATGCTATTGTTCTAGTTTGTATGTTTGACAGCCAACATAGTTATGTACTGAATAAATTTGGAACAGTAATCTTTTTTTTATGACCCATTGAAGCAAAGTGAATGAATCCTCCATTATCAAATCAACTCTCAAACCTGTTTACGCTGGAAGTAATCGCCTCCCCTAATATCCTACTTTCTCATTTTTTATTTTATTTTATTTTTTACTTATAGAAAAGTCACATTCTGTTCCTGAACTGTTTTCATTCACTGATCAAACCCAAATCGGCTGCTAGAACCTGACAAAAAAAATGTTTGCAATTACCAAATATTTTCTTTTGCTGAATTTAGTTTTAAGAATATTTTTGCATTGTTTTTATAAGAACAATTTGGTTATTTTTTTACTTTTAAGTAGTTGCTTTAATACTTCACCAACTACATCCTGACACCTACCATTAATAGTACTTTTCTCACCTTGAATACATATTTTTAAACTTGTTTAGTTTTTTTGTTTGTTTTTGTTTTTGTTTTTTTGTTGTTGAGCCATTAGATGTTTAACATGTGGCCTCTTTGCACTACAAGATGCAGCCAGTGCTGCGGTGTTAGCCCTTTGTATGAAATGATTACTTCAATTTGAAACTGTTGCTGAATGTTAATGAACCATAAAGCCACGGAGAAGCTGCCTGTCCAATCACAGTTCGGGCCTTGCTTTATTCAAAGTAAGGATAGAGAAGGGATTCCTCATGTTTGCACTCTAATATACCACTAACTAAGCATTCAAATCTACTAACAGAAATGAAACGTTTTTCTGTGATACAGGCTTGTAGTGCATGAACATCCAGTATGGCGTTTGTCTGACACCACTACCTGCCAAGCTACTCACTAAGGCCAGTAATCGCTTCTTCTGAAAAATGAGCATTTTTGTTTTAAGGTGTTCAGTGTTGTAACTGTGAATGCTCTCCATGTAGTAGTCCTTGTAAATCCAAAACTGCTTTGTTTGGTGATGTCACCCTGAATCTATTTATTGTGTTGTTATGGCAGCCCCATATAAACATAAATAAATGTTGAATATATGCATATATGAGACAACAAATTGGTTTTCATTTCAGTGTGTTGAAAAGTACGGAGCCTGTCTGGTGACATAGACTTTACAACATAATTTTCATTTGTATTTGAGACACTGGAATCAGCAGTTTTATATCAGGAACTTAAAATTATGGATTTGCGTTATTCAGATTGGGCCCCTTGTGAACTAGTGTACTGTAACTATCTGATATCCTAAAAATTACATTTCTCATCTGATTTTTCTTAAACAACTTGCTTTATTTTTGGCTGTTGGTGATGAGTGAAAGTTATAGAAAACGTCCTAAAAGTGAGGCAACTTAAAGTCCCACATCACTAATGTGCAAGCTCTTGTTTCATAAAAATACGACATTATAGCTTCTTTAAAACTGTTCTCTCTGGCTTCAGTTCCCACCAAGACAAGATAAAAACACTTAAAGCAACTAAATGTTCAGCCATTTAAAAACAAACAGGACATGCATCAGCCATATTTCACTGACTAATTTTCAATAATTGGCACAATGACTCAGTGGTTAGCACGGATGCCTCACAACAAGAAGGTCCTGGGTTTGAACCCCGTTTCGGACCTAGGCTCTGTGTGGAGTTTGCATGTTCTCCTTGTGCTTGTGTGGGTTTTCTCCGTGTACTCTGGTTTCACCCACCCCTAAAAACATTCACTTCAATTCAGTTTATTTATATAGCGCCAAGTCACGGCCTACGTTGTCTCAGAGCACTGTACATAAAAAAGAACAATTTAAAGAAGAAGCCAGCAGATTGTGTTGAATCACTTCATCACAGTCTCCCATCCTGAGCAAACAGTGGAGAGGAAAAACTCCCTGCTAACAGGAAGAAACTTCCAGCAGAACCAGGCTCAGGGCAGGCGGCCTCTGCCTCAACCGGCTGGGTTGGGGGACAGGAAAGAGACACAGGTAAACACAGAAGAACTGGTCCAGGTGCACCTTCTTCTGGAAGAGAAAAAGAAAAAAACATGTTATTGATATTGATAATATTACGTAGGTGGAAGAAGGCGGTCCGGGTAACATTTTTAATGTGGGGATAAAATACATATCCTGATAAAAATAACACCAAGGTTCTTTACATTAGAACTGGAGGCCAGATTAATGCCATCCAKAGGAGGTGAAAGACTGCAAAGTTGACCCCTAAGATGTTCAGGTCCAAAAACCATGACCTCTGTTTTATCTGAGTTTAGAAGGAGAAAGTTAAGAGTCATCCATGTTTTTATGTCTGTAAGACATGCTTGTAGTTTAAGTAACTGATTGGATTCATCAGGTTTCATGGATAAATATAACTGAGTATCATCAGCATAAGAATGGAAATTTATCCCATGCTGTTTAATAACTTTACCTAAAGGAAACATAAATAAAGTAAAGAGGATTAGTCCAAGCACTGAACCCTGAGGAACTCCATGACTAACTCTGGTGTAAGAAGAAGATTCATTATTAAMATTAACAAACCGAAATCTATCAGTTAAATAAGACTCAAACCATTTTAGAGATGTTCTTGTAATCCCAATGTCAAGTTCAAGTCTACGTAATAAAATATTGTGATCAATTGTATCAAATGCAGCTCTGAGATCTAACAGGACAAGAATGGACACAAGTCCACTGTCTGAGGCCATGAGAATATCAGTAACTTTCACCAGTCCTGTTTCTGTGCTATGATGAGCTCTAAACCCTGACTGAAACTCCTCATATAGATTATTTCTATCCAGATGTTCACAGTTGATTTGCAACCATTTTCTCAAGAATTTTTGAGATGAATGGGAGATTAGAAATAGGTCTATAGTTGGCCAGAACTCCTGAATCAAGATCAGGTTTCTTGAGTAAAGGTTTAATTACAGCAACCTTAAAGCTCTTTGACACACAACCAATCATTAAAGATAAATTAAGTAAATCTAAAACATAGATATTAATTAAGGGAAATCCTTCTTTGAACAGTCTGGTTGGGATGGGATCTAGCAGACATGTTGATGGTTTGTATGAAGCTATTATTTTAGATAATTCAGAGCTCAACAGGACAAAAACTGTCCAAATATAAATCTGGTTCTAGTGACACTAAAGCTGCCTCATCTGACAGAGAATCAGAGACAGTAGCAGGAAGTATGGCAGGAATTTTGTTCCTTATTAAAATTATTTTACCTACAAAGAATCTCATGAAGTCATCACTACTTAACGTTATAGGGATACATGGCTCAACAGAGATAGGACTTTTCATTGGTCTAGCTGCAGTACTGAACAGAAACCTGGGATTGTTTTTATTCTCTTCTATTAAAAGATGAATAATATACAGTTCTAGCTTTACGAAGGGCATCTGATGATTTCAGCTGCAGCTTCAGTCAGGAAACAACAGCTTGTTTTGTTTTTGTTTGTTGTTTCCAACACAATAGGAAGTTGAAGCTTCAGCTGCTTTCAGCTTTGACTCATTTAAGTGTAGCTTAACTTTATAAAACTTTAAATATATAGAATATATGGACTGTTATGTGTGTAAAAAATATCAAATATTATTTTTTTGTTTTTATTTCACTTTTCTGAAATAAAAAACAAAAAACTTTCAGCTGATTTACAAATTTTTGTAAATGTTTTCACAATTGAAGCAGCATGGATCAAACCAGCAGAGGTCAGGCTTTACACAGCTACGCCATACCGTTACATTTTGTTTTTGTTTTTCAAAGGGAAAACTGAAATCTCAACGTATCTAATGACCCCAAATCAAAGTTTATTGTTAAAAACAATAAAGCAGTTAAGAATATTTTAGTTAAGTCACTCAACTTCAGCTACAGCAGAACCTCACGTCTGCCTGCCTGTCATTTTCTGTTCAGCTAAATTTATCAGCAAGAGGCATTCACACTAGCATTTTCGCTGGAAATGCTAGTGTGAATGCCTATTGAAACAAACGGATGATGTCACTGATGATGTCACTGATGTGWCTGATGATGTCCCTGTTGATGTCACATATGCACAGAAAGACTGACCCCATTCAAAGTCAATGACTAAAGCAGGCCTACTTCACTTACCAAGACTATCAGACTCACTGTTGACACAGGCTCTACAGTTTCCATACTGCCTCAGCAGACTTACGAAGAATACTTCGGACTGTGGAACCACGGACTGTGGAACCACCGGGACCACAGACTGTGGGACCACAGGCTGTGGAACCACAGACTGTGGAACCACGGACTGTGGAACCACCGGGACCACGGACGGTGTGACCACGTACTGTGGGACCACCGGTACCACGGACTGTGGGACCACGGACTGTGGAACCACCGGGACCACGGACTGTGGAACCACCGGGATCACGGACTGTGTGACCACGTACTGTGGGACCACCGGTACCACGGACTGTGGGACCACGGACTGTGGAACCACCGGGACCACGGACTGTGGGAACACAGACTGTGGAACCACTGGGACCACGGACTGTGGGACCACCGGATGTGGAACCACTGGGACCACGGACTGTTGGACCACCGGGACCACAGACTGTGGGACCACGGACTGTGGAACCACGGACTGTGGAACCAACGGGACCACGGACTGTGGGACCACGGAGTGTGGAACCACCGGGACCACAGACTGTGGGACCACCAGGACCACGGACTGTGGGACCACGGACTGTGGAACCACGGACTGTGGAACCACCGGGACCATGGACTGTGGGACCACGGAGTGTGGAACCACCGGGACCACGGACTGTGGGACCACCAGGACCACGGACTGTGGGACCACGGGCTGTGGAACCACCGGGACCACGGACTGTGGAACCACGGACTGTGGGACCACGGGCTGTGGGACCACGGACTGTGGAACCACGGACTGTGGGACCACGGGCTGTGGAACCACCGGGACCACGGACTGTGGAACCGCGGACTGTGGGACCACGGGCTGTGGAACCACCGGGACCACGGACTGTGGGACCACGGACTGTGGGACCATGGACTGTGGAACCACCGGGTGTGGAGCCACCGGGACCACGGTTTACATTTTTCAAATGTCTTTATTAATTATTAGTAATAAGCTGAAAAAAATTGTACAAAGTATAGCAATAAAATTTTTACAGATTTTAACCCCCAAACACATCCCTAGACAGCAGACACACTCGTGCAAAACTGAACTAAGGTAAAATAACATTTGTACAAGATATTAGTAAAAAGATACCATATAAAATTATATACTTTTAATAGTATTTCTGTTTTATTATCTATTTAGTCAGTCGTACACGTAGTTCATTTTATTGTTTATAAGAGGACGTATTAAATGCTGTTTCTATATGTAGGAAAAACCAGGTAGAGCTCAGTTATTGTTTGTTAGCAGTGCTCAGTCGTAGCAATAAGACGAGGAACATTATATTTCCTGTTTGGTCAAAGTTAAACATGAAACTTCAAAGTTAATTACAACTGGTCCTTTGAGGACGACCATAACACTCATGTGGACCCCTGTGAAAATGGGTTTTACAGCCCTGCCCTAGGGTAACTCACGAGGGAACATGTGGAATTGCTAAAATTTAAAACATCTAACATGTAACCAGAAAAACGGTTGTGAAGGTGAACATTAAAACCATTCCTGGAGCTGGATGGTGATCCAGATCAGCACCAAAATTTAATCATTTGTTTTTTCTGACAAAATCCATTCATAGCTTTTTCAAAAATCATTTGCACACTGAAAATATGACCTCCTTGTCGGAGGTGATAAAAGACATTAACAGAGTTTTACTGTCTGCTGATGATTTTGTTACAAGCTGAATATCTTAAGATGGGACTTTTTGTTTTAGTAGCAACAATTATTTCAACCCAGGTGTGTTTGACAGTTTTTCACATGTCCTTTAAAAAAATGTAACAAGATGCACAGATCTAAACATTAATGCACCTTTTGGTTTAAAGGCTCAAATGCGAGGCCTGGTATCGCCGAGCAGTGGCGTCATTAACGTTGCTCTTTAACCAGCTTTATATTAATAATTAACTGTGAACAATAAAGGCCCACGCCCTCTGTCATAATGCAAATTGTTTCAACCTAATTTAAAGTCATTTGTGCTCTCGAATACTAACCGTGGTGTGTATTCGATGAAACAGAAACAAGTGGGAACTTTCCAATGCTGATGCTGCCAGAAAAGTGAGGAAAAAGATGTAAAAATATGAATATTTTGATCAGTTTTAAAAATATAAAGCTGTGAACATGAAATAAGGTGACAATTTTATACATACATACGTATACACTGTATTGCTTGTAAGTAATCTAGAGTGGCAGAGTAATGTTGTGGTTCAGGAAGTACCAGCAGGACAGTGGTGAGATGTGCTGTAGTGGCAGCCAGCTCCAAGGTGGAGGTGGGACTGCCTCAGGGATTGTCCCCGAGATTTTTCCTGTTCAGCCTGATGGACTGACTAACACACGAGGTCAGGCAGGAATCCCGAGCGTTGACAGAGAGGAAAAGGTAGAAAAGACTCAATCTGCAACTGAAAATATGGATGGAGGACCTCAGTTTAGCTTGTTTGTCACGCTAGCGCCGAGCTAATACATATAAGGAAATATAATGTCGTGCTAGTGCAAAGGCTGTGTGATTGTGTTTGTGTATGCTTGTATTTTTGTCAGGCTGGGACTTGGGCGGCCCCTTCTTTGGGA